CAGCTCCTGATATCAAATCAAAATGGCTTCTACTTCGTAAGCTTTCCCTCTGTGAACCTTCTAGATCCCCTTCCTCAGTTTTCCCAATATCACCTGATGACCTAAACTCCCACTTTATATCGGTTTCCACCTCTTCTTTACCATCCCCTTCCGGCTCTTCTCCAGAGGTACCTTTTAACGACAATAATTTTTATTTTTCCGACATTTCTCCCACAGACCTTATTACCGTTATAATGAAATCCCGTTCCAATTCCGTAGGCCCAGATGGCATTCCTATCAAACTAATAAAATTATGTCTCCCTGAAATCCTCCCAGCACTCCTTTTCATCTACAATTTCTCCCTGCAGAATTCAATATTCCCGACCTCTTGGAAAAAAGCCATTGTCCTTCCTTTAAACAAAAAGCCTAATCCATCCTCTCCCGAAGATTTCCGCCCAATATCAATCCTTTCCAATCTTTCTAAACCCCTAGAAAAGTTAGTGCAATCCCAAGTTTCCAACTACCTTGAACAATCCAACCAACTCGATCCTCTCCAATCTGGCTTCCGTCCTGGCTACTCTACACAATCTGCTCTGATTAAAATTACTAGTGATATCCAGACTGCAATAGATGACAAAAAACTAACCATACTTATACTGCTTGATTTCTCCAAAGCTTTCGATTCCATTATCCATTCCATCCTTTTCAACAAACTAAAATCATTATCCTTCTCCAATAGTTCCATCTCTTGGTTCCAGTCTTTCCTCTCACAACGAACCCAAGCAGTTTCCATACCTAATCAACCTCTATCTGCCTACCTTCCTTTATCCTCAGGAGTTGCACAGGGTTCAAGCATGTCTCCTCTTCTTTTCAGTTCTTATATTAATGACCTAAATGATTCAATTATCCATTGTTCCCACCACCTTTATGCCGACGATTCTCAAATCTATTTATCCTTTTCTCCCGCTGAGTTATTGGTGGCATTTGCCAAAATTCAAGAAGATTTAGATCGAATTAGTGCCTGGGCCAACTTAAATGGATTAAGGCTAAATGCTGCCAAAACTCAGGCCATTCTCATTGGTTCCAAGCCCCTTCTTAGATCCCACACCAACTTTCCCTCACTCTATCTAAACAACCACCCCATCACCTTCTATCCCTTTGTTAAAAATTTAGGCTTTCTCATAGATCAAACCCTTTCCTGGAATCACCATATCTCTCATATATCCCGCCGTGCAATTTCTACCCTCAAACTATTCCATCACTTCCGCCATCTTCTACCCCAAAATACCCGTAGACTCATAGTTTCCTCTCTCATCTTTCCCCACTTTGACTACAGCTGTGTGGTGTACGATGGCCTCTCGGTGGAACTGCGTGATAGACTCAAAAGACTTATGAATTGCTTCGTAAGATTTGTAATTGGAACCCCGAGACGCTCCCGTGTCTCCCACCACTACACTGAGTTAGGGTGGCTCTTCCCCTCCTTAAGAAGACAATATTTCCTTGGCACTTTCCTTTATCAAATCATTACCGATCATCGTCCTTCTTATGCCTACAACCTTCTCCAATTTAAGTCCTCAATCCATTCACTCACTACAAGATCCCGACCCTCTGACCTATACATCCCTTCTCATAGATCTGCCTCATTCCAAAATTCCTTTATAGCCCGCTCTGTCAACTTTTGGAATTCCCTCCCGATCAAAATTCGACATGCCCCTTCCCTGTATACATTCAAAAACCTCCTATTCCAATTCCTGTTCCAAAAACAGTCTGATACCAGCTAAATATTGATATTATATATGTATTGTGTGGCAATCACATAATCATAACACTTGGTAAGAGATAGTACATGCATTTCCTACTATCGACGTAGGAATTTCAATACATACATTTTTTTTTTTTTTATTCAATTATAAGTAACTGTTTATTTTTATATATATATTCAAGTAAAGTTTTTTTTTTTTTTTTTATGAAATGAACTCATTCTATCTCTTTCTCGTTCTTCATTTCTCAAAGTGTATGTTTATGTTGTTCAACCCTTAAATATAATTTTGTTCATAGTTCAAGTGATTTGTTCATAGTTTTAATTGTTTTGTTCGTAATTTTAAATGCTCTGTACATAGTTTTACCTGTTTGTATATAGCTTGTGCACCTAAGGTTTTCTTTACTTTTTATTTTAATTTATCAATTTTATTTATTGTTTCAACGTTCAGGCCAGTAATATTCTATTATTTTGTACATTTTTGTTATTCTGAAGGGACTTAGTCCCAGAATAAAGTTTTTTTTTCTATTCTATTCTATTCTATAGTATAAAAATAAATAGTCATATCCAAAGGTTAATTGTATTCACTATGGCAGACACCCAATCATTCGTCTAAAAGCATTATGTTTCTCTGGATGTTATATACCTTGAATTAGAACCTGACGATGGAGCACATTAGATTTAAAGTAATTACAAATTGATTGTAACAACCCAATCCTGATATGTATTGTAACATGCACTATATTTTAACTTAATTTTTTTAGCCATGTATCAACAAATAATCATTGGGATTGTAATTCTGAAGATGAGAGTAAATATCCCGAAACGTTAACATGTAAACATGTGATTTGGAAATACAACAAATAAATACAATTGTTGTTTAATTGGAAGTCATCATTGCCAAATAACAAAGAATAACATACAGATTCTAATATATATATATATATATATATATATATATATATATATATATATATATTATATATATATATATATATATATATATATATATATTTGTTTGTTTTTAATTCGAAAAATGAATATCGACTTTATTTCTCCCTAAAAAAATATTTACTCTTACCAAAACTGGTTTCGAATAAATAGTATATTTGGCACATGGAGCAACTTCTTGATAACAAAATTCTTTTCTCTATAATAAAATCAGGTCATCCCGGAAGTGAAGTCAGTTTTATAACCGATAACCGAAGTTTTAGACAGAAAAATAACTACGTGTTCTAATCCCAGTGCCCAGTGGGACTTTTAACACGACATAATTTTCCCGCCCTCTCCCCTGGTTCAGAAAAAAATCCGTGGAATCTAAAAGGCAAGGAAGGGGAGATAAAAAAAAACTACTAATTCCTCGTTTACAATTTTTACATATTTTGTTTATTATAGCATTTCATACTCTTCTATTTATCACGTTTTTGTTGGAGGAAGTTAGTTATTATGACCTGAAATTTTAATTAAAATAGATCTTCTCCGAAACCACTTACACCATGTTATGCTCTGGTAATTGGTTAAAGAAGAAATTTGAGCGGTTTTGACTTATCGTAAACTTGTAGAAATATATGGAGAAAACGTCATTAGTGAAGGCTAGAGATTAATTCCTGGAGAAACACCGAAAACAGAAGGACCTGGTCCGAAAAAGTAATGATTGAATATTTAATGGTTGACCGTTGCATTATAAAGGAAGGAGATGGTCCGTGGTTGCGGTCATAAAAAGGCTAAATATTGGTAAAACTATTTTATTGAAAGCCAACGTTTCGACCCGACTTTGCAGGTCTTCATCAGGGCTAGAACGGACAAGATACAAAAAGATAGAGAATTGTGGAAATTACATAATATTTAGACATAATTTATAAACAATGTGAATAAGCTTATTAGAATTATAAACAGTAAGTACAATACAATATGGACTAAGTAAGCTGAGTAACAAGATCCTAAAATAAAGTAAATAGATGCTAACAATTGTTGTAGTGTAATATATAACAAATGAAAATGTGAGTATAATTCTACAAAATCTACAGGAGAAAAAATAAGATTAGAGACTTACAGGTGTGTTCCTCTAGGAGTTTCACTTAGAACTGGAAAGGCAGCGGTAAGGATTGCAGATATAGGGGGAGTTAACATGTGTTAACTAAGTAAAGGATTGCAGGTATAGGTGAAGACCTGCAAAGTCGGGTCGAAACGTTGGCTATCAATAAAATAGTTTTACCACTATTTAGCCTTTATATGACCGCAACCCCGGACCATCTCCTTCCTTTGAAAAAGTAATGATGTATGTATGAAGGTTTACTGCAGGAATCCTTATCATGATTTCCTTGATCTTAAGTAAACTATCACTAAAAATCACTACAGTGATCGGCTAGATCGATTGTAGCGGGAAAATGTGGAAAAAAGTCTCTCACTCATCAATAGAGGATCAATTTTTTTTTCCTTCATGAAAATGCGAGGCCCCATGCTGCAAAACGAAATTGAGAACTTTGGATAGAAAATTATTCTTCACCCACCATATTCTCCTAACTTAACTCCTTCGGATTATCATAATTTTCGCAGTCTTCATAACTCATTAAGGGGCAGGAATATGTTCAATCGATGAAGTCAAAAACGCGGTGTTGGCTTCCTTTAATTCAAAACTAAAAGATTTTTTTCAGAAAAATTTGGTTTCAAGTTGATAAATACATTTTAGATTGAGCGCATTTCATTGGTTTTATCCTACCCCTTTTATCGTTCAAATAAATAACGTCATTACTTAATAGATGGCCTGAATATTTCAACATTTGATGAAGAAATAAAAATATTTACATATCGTCGAATTATTTCTAAAGATTATCAATAAAATATATTATCAAGTGCCATTCCTAACCTTTAATCACTAAGAGGTTTGATGAATTTCTCTTTGTTAAATCAGAAAGTTGTGTGCTAAGTATGTAGAGGGGATTTTGCCATTTTTTGCACTTAATTTTTTTCTCAATAATAAGGTTGAAATTCATAAAAAAAATAATAAGTGGTTTTAAAGCACAGCTCTATCTATAATGTACTGAGTGACTTTTTTCTATAGATCAACGGTATTCTAAATATAAATGTATAAAAAAATTATATAATAAAATATATGTGATGGTTATGAATATCTAATAAATCTTCTAGATGCTATAAAATAAAACATATAAAACTGTTGAATGTTAACAGTTAAAAAAGAAAGCCTATCAATTATGAAATAATACAATATTTTTTAGGAAGAATTTGGACAAGCTTAGCTGAAATGAAACTAAAGAATAAAAATCAAGAGTCAGATGCATTTCTGGGAGGATCAAGATCGCTATCTGAACCAAAAACAAACACCTCTCTTAGTCTAGATGAGTCATCGGGAACAGCCGGTGCTTCAACTTCTTCCGAAGAACTGGAAGAGGAACATTATAGTAGACGAAATCGTAGAATCAGATGTCGTCACAGATTTAAACCAGGAAAAGTCTCATACAGTTCACAGTATGAGGAAAACGAAAAACAGAAACATTCAGGTTCTGAAGAAAGCAGTCCTTCAGGTGATGATATAACTTTCAGAAGCAGTCGTCACGTTTATGAAGTTTCTACTTTCACGCTGTACGTTTTCACCAGCAGAGATGGTCCCCATTCTCTATAAGATGAAATCGAATTTCTTCACAAGTCGTAAAAAGAAACCGGAAGAAGAAACATTGAACACGGTTGCTGAGGAGGGCTATCTGATCCAACCGATCTGACTAAATCATTTAACACCCCAGTGTGGTAACTCACTTTCAACGAGTACGGCCTGGAGGCGTGGTCATCCCTTATGTTACTAAAATTCAACCAATGAAAACCACCATTGTCCTACCCTTGATATTTCTATAAAATCTAATGAGAAGGGATAAAAGAGGCCTTATGTGGAGATCCGGCTTGGAGGAGAGGTCTTATGATGATGTCCGTCCTTGAGGATTTGGGGTCTCTTGTTTTCTTCCGGCTTGGGGCCTGAAGCCTTGGCCTTACATAGACCATGATGATCCTGGCAGAGCTTCGAACCATGATGAAATGATCTCAACTTAGCAGAAGCAGTGATGACACCTCTTATACAATAGATAAGTTTTATTCCCAACAATAAATTTACCAATGTTATAATATTTTATGGGAATATAATTTTCAAAATAGTCCATCTTAAATCATGCCTTCACAGTTCATTATTGAATTCATTGATTCCTGTAACTATAATTTGTGATTCTTGTAAATATAATTTGCATATATTCTTTATTAAAAATAATTAAGTTGAAATAAATTAAGTTTGTCAGGAAAAGTTAATTTAATCATGCCACCTATTTATATCATTATAATCACAGGTAATGTTTGGTAATTAGAAAGCACGATAAACACAAACCAGTCTTTGAGAAAAGAAATCCAATTCATTAATTCTGGACCAATCAATATATTATAAATCCAAATTTATTATACTAATTTTTATTAAATAATTCTGGATAATTATCCTCAATAATTACCTAGTGGCATCCTGAATAAATTTTAAAACAACAAAAGGTAACATTTCATTTAGATAGAAGCTATATTGTAAAACATAAAGAGTTTTCCAACACATAATTTGTTACTTATATTTTGTAATTACTGATAAAGAATAAAGTAACTCATTCTAAACGTTATCTATGCTTACATGGGATTATGCCAGGTTGAAGAAAGAATATAGTTGGCAGTGTGAGGTGAAGATAGCCCTAAAAGTGCTCCTGCATCGGGCCAAGTATATTTCAAGTTCTCCATAAACAGATCTACCTGTGCGGTAAATTCTATTAACTGCTCCAACCCTTTGCCTGAAATTCGTAATTATTTTACTTTGAAGATACGAATATTATTTCTATAAATATTATCCAGAGGGCTAATTCAAAGGATATGTCAAAATAATTATTTTTTGGCGCGAGATAGACCAATTCAGGACCACGCTAATATCACTTAGTAGTCTATTCTTTTCATTCTTCCTCCTCCACACCTCTCATATCCTTTCGGAGCTCTGTAGCTCTATCCTTCAAGTCCATAAAGGTTTTGTAACTGATTTGTAGATGATAAGTATGTTAGTTTAGGACCATTTGGAGCGTCTGTGAAGTAACCTAAATAACAGTCGTTAAATAAAAAATAGTTTGTTCAGCTGTTTTCTTTTCAGTGTAGTATAAGTTCTATATTTCAGTCTCTATGTAAAAAATAAAAGGAATATAATATGGGGTGCGTATGGCTAAACTTCAGATTATAATGTGATATTTCTTTATGATTGTTGGCTTCATGATCCTCTTATTACAAAAAAAAAAAAAAAAAAAAAAAAAAAAAACCACCACTACGAACAATGAAGGATCTTTATGTTCAGTACTATTTAGGGAAACTACTGTTGGTTGTGCAGGGAGGTTATCCACTTCGTTGAGGTTTGGTGAGCCCCAGGAGGATCTCCCTGCAACATGGTCCCTCCACCGCCAAATCACTCCAAAATTTAATTAATACACACTAACCACATTATAATATGAAATTTGGCCTCACGCATTCTTAATATGTATGTTTTTTTCACATAAAATATATCATGTTTAAGAACCGCTTATCGTTATGACTAATAATAGTCAACTTATAGTTTACCGTATCAATGTTTTCCACTATTAATCATATACAAGTAACAGATACAATCCAATAATTATAGTAATATTCTTAATAGAAAGAGAATGGCATAATAAAACATTGGCCAATAAAGTATGAAAAAATTCTTATTATTATCATATATAACATTTACTTTCCCAAAATAAGACCAGCCAGGGAAACCTTGTTATTAGACTGGGTGGTACCTGAATAGTACAGGTAAGCGATTTTAAATATCTGGGATCACAAGTGAACGAGAATATCTGTGTGGATGGACAATAGTGGAGAGACAATTAAGGCAGCTGGTTGTTGTTTTAATGTCATCAAATCATTTTTTTTTTATAGGAAAGAGGTAACCAAAATCACAAAAATACTTGTCTTCCAATCCTGACATATTTAAGCTAGTCTTGGATCGTAGAAAGTAAACATAGAAGCCAACTCCAAGTGATGGAGATGTCCGTAGGATCGAATGATAGTCAATGAGATACCGAGTGAGGATGTCATACCATCCTTGGGTCTGCAGAATACAAAGGAAAAAAAAAATAGAAGAATACCAACTCCTTAGTTCTCCTAGTTCTCGAAGGCCAGAAGGCAGACTGGCAAGGCACTGTTATGAGATACATTTCGGATGACCTAAGAAGATATGAGAAGCAGCATTTCCTTCATTTAAACTCTTGATTGACCCTATGTAAAAATGAATGCCTCAATAAAAGGCAAAAGGCACTTCAAAAAAGCAGATGGATATGTAGTATCAACAAAGATGCAATAGAGCTGCATTCAGATAAATGGAAAGAAATATCCCAAGACATGCAGTGATGGAGCAGGGTTGTTAAGACGGAAAAAGATCTACATGGTCTGTTATACCAACTGAAAAAAAATTGATCCTTGTTATTCCATCTTCTGGCACTCGAACATTGAATCCTGTAGACTCTGTTTGGTCCGAATTGTTGAGTTCCTCGATCACTATTACTTGGAGTTGGTCCCTCTGTTTACAGATTAGGCTAGTCTCGCTTGAGTATGTCAACATTGGAAGGGAATTATTTTTGAAGATCGTCATTTCTTTGCTTTCGGCTACATCGTTCTTTCCCAAAAAACATTAGTGTTTTAATAGTATTTAAATACCTATCTCCTTCTGTTATCCCTCTCTTCTATCTCCATCCACTCAACTATTAATTCGGGTTTCATCCAATCTGATGATACGGTATTCTTTCCGACAAGCAGGATTTATGTATTTGCCTCATTTGTCTTCATTTTTATTTTTATTACTCTTAGTCGGATTCATTAGAACACGCAGGTTAAGCTGGATGTTTTTCATTGTTACCAAAGACCACTAGGTCATCCGTATAGGCCAGCATAAAAGTCAAAATTAATACGTCTAAACGTAAATATATTACTATTAAAATATATTATATTACTACGTAAATATATTAAAATACATTACTGAAAAGATTAATGAATAGCTGCGTAAGATTTGTTATTGGTGCCCCGAGGTACTCCCATGTCTCTCACCACTACACTGAGTTAAGGTGGCTCTACCCCTCCTTCCGAAGACAATACTTTCTAGGTACGTTCCTCTACCAAATCATCAACAAACATCGTCCTTCTTACGCCTACAACCTTCTCCAGTTCAAATCCTCAGTCCATTCCCTGTCCACAAGATCTCGACCTTCTGACCTTTACATGCCTTCTCACAGATCTGCCTCATTCCAAAATTCCTTTATTGTTCGCTCTTTCAATTACTGGAATTCCCTCCCTATCAAAATTCGACATTCCCCCTCCATATCCACATTCAAATCCCTCCTATTCCAATTCCTATCACAAAAACAGTCAGATACTTGCTAACCATTCGAGCGGATTTTAATAGAGAATTTGATATATTTTTATTTTTTAATTCTTAATTTTTTTCAGAAAAGTGTATACTGGTCTAAAGAGCTTTAAGTTTCTTGTCATAGTATTAATGGTTTTGTATATAGTTTAGTTTGTTTTGTATATAGAGTTTTTACCATATATTTTTTTTACATTATTTCTTTTTTTCGACTTATTTTGTTTTGGCCAGATGTAATATTTTAATTTTGTTCTAATTTGTTATTCTCAAGGGACTGTGTCCCAGAATAAAGTTATTTTTCTATTTCTATTTCTATTTCTATAAGGGAACATTATTCGATTCCAAAGTTTAGTTAATTTAACACGACTTAAGAACAGTTTCACATAAAAATTAATTTCATCACTGTTTCCTTGTTTGACCCTTCACTACCTTTTCGGTTAGTCTGTTTTGTGCAACTGGATGCGCTATCATTGGCGTGACTTTGCGGTTTGATTCTTGAATGGAGACCTGTCCCCCTCTCCCCGAGGAGGGAGGAGCGGGAGGGGGAGGAGGAGGCGGCGCGCGGCAGTGGCCCGCCGGCGGCGGCAGTGGACGCCGAGAGCCGGAGATGATCAGGTCGGTGCGGCGGGAGGACGGCTGGCTGGAGTACCTCGTCCTGCCCGAGCACCGCCGGCGGCGGCGGCAGCGGCTGGCCTGCGTCCTCGTCGCGTCGCTACTGCTCGGCTGCGTCCTCGTGGCCGCCGCCGTCATCCTCCCGATCGCCCTCTCCACCTCCTTGGTCGCGCTGCCCGCCAAGTTGGCCGTCGCCAAGGGCCTCCAGGGCGTCAGGTACTTCGCCATACTGCCTGTCCGCCAGGCCAAGTCCGAGTTCAGGATACAGGTAGCCAAGCCGCCCGGCGCCTCCCACGTCTACGATTGGGCGGTAAGTCTCTGTCTCTAAACATAACTCAAGTCAGATACATTAATATTATTTAATCTGACCGATGACACTCCAGGCTTCGAATGTTCTTTAACTAACAACCATTGTCACACGGTTTCTCACCCTCTGAATGTAAACACACTTACACACTTATAAGCTATTCTCCAAAGTTTCATAGGTGTCATATATGGATTTTATCTATTCCACCAATATTATTAGACTAAGACGAGAAGCATTAAATAAAATCGGGAAAAAAGAATAGAAGAAATCATTTATTTATATTTT